TCCGACCGTATCAGAGTCTGTGTCTTCCATCTCCGGAACGACGTGGCGGCAGACAAGGTGGCGTTGGCTCACGAGGTGTTGGGCAATATGTTCATCGACTGCTTGCACTACCAGGTCGACCTCATTGGAGGCGACGCCAACATGGCCCTGTACCGGGCCACTGGCAGGAGGCAGGAATCGATGGACATCCGCGGCGGGATGTACCAGAGCCTCATGGACTACTTCCTGGAGGCCTGGTCAGAAAGCCCGAAAAGCCTACACCTCTGCTCACCTCGCGCGAGGCATGTGTCAGCAAACGCCATGTGGCTTCTGAAGCAGTATGAGGACACGCTGGGAATGCCATACAGGGAAGTTAAGCAACCAGACTGGAATACTTTTCCTGGGTTGGATCCTGTTATGGCTACGGTCATGGAATGGGGACACAGCATGTCGGACGATCAATGGGCAGAGTTTCCGTCTTCAAGGACCGAGTTCGACATCCATGTCTCCGAGTGGCTGTTGAATTCCACCAGCGCCGCGTACCTCCTCAACGATCGGGACTATGACGCTCACACTCCACTCCTCATCGAGGTTCACGCGAACCAGTACACTGGAGGCAGGATGAGAGCGCTCAACCGCAATCCCGACACCATGAAGGAGGCCGCGGACAGAAGAAAAGAGAGGCAGAAGTTGAACAAGGCGCGTGGTTCTGGTTCTACTGGTCCTGCAGCCGCACCACACGGAACAAGCTCTTCTCAGGAAGAGGCAGCTCCTGGTGCTAAAGCTTCTCGTCCTCAACGTCCTCAAGAACCCGCACAAGCTCCTGGTGGCAAAGAAGGCGGCAAAGGAGGCAAGTCCTCTAAAGGCAAGGACAAGGACTCCAACAAGGGCAAGTCCAAGGGCAAGTCCAAGGGCAAGAACAAGGGGAAAAACTGACTAGGTTCCGATTCTTCGGACGTGGATATGGACAATGGTTCTGACGAAGTTCCTGTGGAACAAGATGAAGACCTTGTTCCAGATCCACAGATATCGCTACCTAGGAATGCTGCTGATCCCCGCGGTTACGACCCTGTTCGCCATCAGCCGATAGTGCCGATTCATGCCAACGACATCTACCGTTGGCATGGTCAAAATCATTGGCGTGATAGAACCTGGGATCGTGACTTAGAGTTCGTCGACTGAACTGGCTGAGTGTTTCACGGAATGCTTCTTTCATAAGAAGGTATCTAATCTGAACATTCGTCATTTCATAGGGAGATGCTTTTCTCAGGAAAAGGTACTTCCTAAAGAACTCTTCTTCAAAAGAAGATACTTATCTCAGGATAAGATACTTCCAATGCCCTTATACGTTTGCCGTGTCGCAAGATGTCATGCTGGCATCAAGTAGAGCTAAGCTCTACAACCTTTTATGTTACAGTATGCTTTCCACCTGGAGAGGGAACTGAAACACAAGTGGGCAACTTTCAAGCACAAGTTTCCAGTTGAAGATCCGTTTGCGTTTTTGTGCGTGTTCTGCTCTTTTCAATGAAGCTGTCTTCAGGTGAGAGAATGTATAGTTTCTCTTCAAGTCGCAGATGTAGCTCAATACTCCGCTAATTCGACCAAGAGCAATAACAGGCTAGTTGAATGCCGACTCCACGGCCATGCAGCTCTACGTGTTTTAAATTTGTGCCTGGTTGAAACACTGAATGTTACACATCCAGGTGCCTGTCTGTTTCACGTATCACTTGCATGTATCCATGCCTGTTGCTCAAGGTTCTAGTGCAGTGGACTACAGCTGTGCGCCTGTAGCAAACGAGACACCTGAGTGCCTGTGTTCCTGTACGCCTAGCGAGGGGATACACGTCCAGGTTACATCTCAGGGGGAGGGGGGGAGGGGGGGGAGGAAGGGGGGGGGTGGCGAAGGGCAGGGAAAGGGGGGGCAGGGGGGGGGAGGGGCCCCGGAGGGGGGGGGGAAGAGGGGGGAGGCAAATTCGGCAGCAAAAAAGGACGGAAGCCGGGCAAGGGGGTCGAAAACAGTCGCAAAAAACGGGTGGAAGTTTGCATTAGAGGCCTTTGGCCTCAGCGGACATAGACTGCGTAGACATACCACTTCTGCTTGGGACGTATTGTCTTCTTGTTGAGACTCGGGGGCCTGAACCGACACCCAGCAATGCCTGGGCAGTCTTGAGCTCCGACCGCCAGTGATCCCTGACTCCTGCACCCGTGGACCCGGGCATCGGCCCCAACGCCCGGCAAGCAAGCAAGCAAGAGAGAGAAAGAGAGAGCGCAAAAAAGCAGTGAGGACAGCTGGGGCGCAAGCCCAGGACCCCAAAGGAGGACCACCACCACCACGCACATGGGGCTCTTGTCTGGATGACACTTACTTGTGGAGCCAAGACAGGGACCACCTCCAGAAAGTTCTCAATTCGCTTGAAGGAGAACTCGAAGAAGATGGCCTCAAGATACACCCTACAAAAGCAGCCATCCTCTCGGCTCCCCCATCACATTCGGCGAGCAAACAGCAGCCTTGATTGCGGAAATGAGTCGCAGAGGCAGACAGGCCTTTGCGAAACACAAGAAAATCCTTATGGCACGGACTCATATCAACACACGCTGGACCGCACATACAACTTTTGCGGTGCGAACTTCCGCACTCTACGCGGCTGAGACATGGCCAGTCCAACACAGACTCCTCAAGGCAGCAAACTCGCTACAAATGCAACACCTCAAGGGGATGCTCTTCCAGCACCGCCGACCCACGGAGCAACGGGCCACGTGGCACACCAGAAGCCTCTGAGCAGCACGAGTACACCTCCACCGCATGGGGGGAGAAAGGTGGTCCAGCTACATCCTGCGTCGCATTTGGGCGCTGTGGGGACACATGAACATGGCTTACTGGCGAAAACAACAAAACAAGCCCCGCAAACAAAGTGTGACGCACATAGGGCACTTCAATCCGGAGTCCGACGTCGAGCGAGCAATCGAAGCCATAGCAGGGACACACTGGGGGGAGGTAGCACAGGATCGCAAGTGGTGGCAAGACCTCACACAAGCCTTCATGGCCAAGTTCGATGTGCCGTGGGCTACAGGCAAACAGCAAGCCACGGCACTCACAGCTTAGTGATGATCCGTTCGGAGATGCTGTGGAGCAGACCAAAAAAGGGGCGGAGGCTACACACCATCGGGGGGCCAACACTACCACAACCACCATCACCACAACAGAGCATACAGACCAAGACAGCGCGATTACCAACAATGGCAGACGACAACCAGGGACAGACAGTGAGACCAGTACAAGGTGTTGGGGGGGAGGCTGCTAAACCATCGGGGGAACCAGCACTACCACTCCCGACGCCGCGACAAAGCATGCAGACACATAAAGCACGATGACCAATAAAAGGCAGACAGAGACAGGGGACAGACAGTGACACCAGTCCATGCTGCAAACCAGTGCCGCCGTGAGCCAAGTGCATGTACCAGCCGGACGCAAAGGCACATCAATTGCAGCCGCTACGCTTCGAATACCCGAACGTAGTGGGGGACAGGGCCGCACAGTGCTGCCATGGCAGAGCGCGAAACAGAGGTGGAACACCTCTGTAGCAGCGCCAACACGGGCAGACATACAGCCCATAACAGAAAGGCACCAGGTTGCAAGTATTAGGCCGTGCCGGCCGGCAGATGGAAAATCCAACTTGGGGGAGCGGTGGCAACAGCAGCCGCCTCAAGTTCAGAGGCGGCCCCTCCAGTCACCACTGCGGGCAAGCCCAAGTGGGGGGAGACCTCGCAGATCGACGAAGCCGAGGCGGAGGAGACCAGTTCGACTACAACTGAAAGCGGCAGTCCGGACCCTTTGAGGGGGACGCACCAGCAGCGCCGTGCCCGAACCTGGATTGCCAACCGGTTCGAACCCTGGGTGGGAAGGCAGTTGCGGTTTGATAGAGCAACGGGCCTCCTCCTCCCACCGGGTGAACGAACCCCGAAGGCAAGAGACAACTCGTGCTTTAGTGAGCGCGGGGACGAGGATAAAGTTCGGGGAGGGTTGAGTCCTTAGCCGGCACACACCACCAGTCGCACCGAACGGGCGAAACAGCCCCTTCGAAGACCCCAAAGACTCTTCCACCGCTCAGACGGGGAAGGGGGCACCTTGGCGCTGGTCCGCGACGCGAACTCTTCCCCGGCGGAAGGAAGGAAGGAAGAGAATGGCCCGAGTGACGTGTGCCGGGGAGTTTCAGGTTGGTGAATGTTTGTTTATAACGCTTGTGAGAAACCCTGCGATGATCCGTCAAATGCGATGCAGAGGTGTCGTCCAGTAGCTGTGATCCCTGAAGTCTTTCATAGGCCAATATATTGCACTCTGCGTTTCAGGGGGGAAGGTTACCGTTTTACACTCCCATAAAGCCTGATAACAAGTGGGGGGGCCATGTGCCGGGGGGTTTCGAAGCCCCTCATGCCCTGACGAAGAAGGGGTTTTTGAGTTTCAACAATCCAAGTCGGGAGGGACCAGAGAAGCACAAACAGTGGATCGGGGAAGACCTTGTTGTTTTACTTATCTTTGTCCAATAAAGGGGACCCACAACATGTTGGATGGGATAGCGCAATATGCGCTGGTCGGGGGGCTTGCCCCCGCCTTAAACCCCGAGCAAAGCAAAGAAAGGGTAGAACAAGAGAAACTGCCCCGCGAAGAGCAGGCTCCCACCGCTGCCGTTCCTTCTGCGGCGTCGGTTGCTGCGGTGGCAGAACTCGAGGCATTCTCCAAATCGATTGTGTCTGGTGTTTCGCGTGGCGGGGAGCTATGGGAACTTGAGCAAGTGGCAGTGGCAGGAATCGTCGGCAAAGGCCGTTGTTGCAAAGTGCTCCTTCCAGCTGCCTGGCTGCGACCTGCTCTGCATGGGCAGGTGTCTGTGAAGGTGTTGGCCGAGGGCGCCGACGGTGTCAACGAGCTGTGCTTCAGTGTGCACGCCTTCCCTGTTTTGTATTTCATGCCATTCTCTCGCTCCACGGTGGCTTTGGCCAGGCGCACCACGACACCGCTGGGTAAGATGATGAAGGCACAGCTGGCGAAGCCCTTCGTTTAACATGCATCGTGCCTTCTTGTTCAGGCCTGGTGCGACCACCACCAAGTTCCGGCAGAGGAAGCTGCGTTCTTGTTGGGGGAGCGGCTGGTGAAGCCCGAGGACAGGTTAGGCATGCTCGTTGTTCGCCATGGCACAGACCGCTCTTGGAAGGACACGCTGGCGACACTGGGCAGTGGCACCGATTCGGTGGTGTTCCGCGCCGCCGCCAACCCAGCGTTAACGTCGGATGCGGCCCGTGTGCGCTGCTGCGTCGGTCTTCTCAGGTTCCATGCGACCAGGCGGAGAGTGCGAAGGAGGCCACGCCCAAGAAGCGAGGCCGGCCGAGTGGACGGTCTCACTGAGCCTCACTGGCACCTGGCGCTCGCGGAAGGACGGCCGAGGGAAGCGAAGGCCAAGCCGAAGTCGCCGAAGCCGAAAGAGAAGCCCGAGAAGCCCAAGGGCAAGGGCAAAGGCAAGAGCAAAGGCGGGAGCCCAGCACAGAGGCACTGTTCAGTAGAGACCTCCGTGCAGGGAAGCGAAAGGGCACCGACGAGGCCGTTTCTGCTGAGCCGCCGAGCTGCTGCTACCAACAGTAACGAGTTCGTTCTACAGTAAACCTGCTATGCATATTCTCCCAACTTGCTGCAACACTGATAATGTCCATGTCTTGCGGGCCGGAATATGCAGGCAATCGCTGCAACTTGTGCGCCTGGAAGAAGTTAGGGATGTCATCGGGAGGTCTCAAGTTCATCCTCCAGGTACAGGGCTTCAATCCTTCCGGCTATCATGTGGCACAAGTTCATGTTAGTGTGTGTGTGTCCCACCGCGCCAGTTGTGCTTTTACCGGCGGTCCTGTGGTTTGCTGGTATGGGGACCCGTCCAGCGATGCGATGTGCAGTCTGCTGCAGTATCATCATGATGTTGTCGACCGGTTGGGTGGGAACATCGACGAAGGATTGCAGGCAAGTCGCGCGGATTGCCGCTCAAGTGCCACCCGTGGACCTCACAAGAGTTGGCAGTCTGAAGATTGGCACGAAACCGCCTCTTCGGAGCGGACTTGTGTCCCAGATTCCACATGGTTCGGTGATGTTCGGGGATGGCGAGTACAACAAGGCATCTCAGAGCCAAGCGGAGTCTCTGCTGCTGGTCTTGAATGGTCTCTTGGCGGACATGACAAGTTGGAAGACTGAGGTCAGCGACATGGCCAGACTTCGAGTTGCCGACTACGGTTGCTCGCAAGGCAAGAGCTCGTTGCCCATCGTTTCTGCACTGATTGCAGCAGGCGAGAGGACTCCGATAGATTTCTTTTTCACTGACCTGCCGCAGAATGATTGGGATTCTGCAAAGTTGGTGCTGAAATCCCTCGGGCACGTTGAACCAGCTGAGAAACCCAGCTTCCATTCCCCGGCTCTTCTACAGCCATTCGTGGATGAGGCCAAGGCCGGAAACCTCCACTCGGTGCGCATGTTCATGTGCGGACGCAGCTTCTACGAGCAAGTGATCCCATCAAACTCCATCGACCTCGGCTATTCAGGTACTGCAATGCATTGGGTTTCCCATGCAATTAAGGGTTCTGGCTTCTTCAATGGGGGCGATCTCTATTTTCGCAAGCTGGAGCGGAACAGTCCAATGCGCCTGGAGTGGGAGAATCTTGCAGCCAAGGACTGGGAAAGCAACCTGAGATCTCGCAGTAAGGAGCTTGTCTCGGGTGGTTCTTTGCATTTTGTGGTTCCCGTCTTTGATGCTGAATCATGCCCAAGCTCCACGTATCAAAAGCTCGCCGACGTGATGATGGAGACTCTGCAAGTCCTTCTGAGTCGTGGTGAGATCTCGCAGAAAGAGGCTGATGCCTTTGTGATGCCAGTCTTCCTGCGGTCCCGCGACGAGTTCGAGGCTCCGTTCCAAGGAGGAGCATTCGAGGGGCTTGTACTGGAGAGGTTCTCGACACATGTTCTCCAGTGTCCTTACTGGCAAACATTCAAACACGACCCCGAAAGGTTTGCAGACTCCTATGTTCGCAGTGTGAGAGCGTGGAGCTACAACAGCTGGATCTCCAAGCTTGCCGCCGTCAGCCATCAGGCAGACACCATCGTCGAAAAGCTTTACAGGGCCATCAACGAGGGCATCATGAAAAATCCTGAGGATTTTCGCAGGGACTACGTGCAGGCGTACATGACGATCCGTAAACTGTAAATAGTGCCATCTGCAGCGATGCTGTTCAGACGTTTCCGGCACTGCTCCGGCTTGTTTTTACTACTTGTCGTAGTCGGAGTTTTGACTCACTTTTTTTTTCTTGCAGCATTTCGTAGACAAGCTGTGAGATGCTCCTCAGCTGCCATGGCTGCTGGAGGCTGAATTTTCACGGGCCTGAAGGGACACCGTCTTTCTTCCCTTTTGCCAGACTCAGAACTGGAACGTGCGGTGACTGAGCTGCAGATTGCACAAGCGCACAAGGAAAAGCCTATTTGGTGTCCTCAAGTGTCCATGAATTCTGCACAAGTTCTCGCCTTCATCGTATTTCAACTCAGAACGCGACCGAGAATACAGCATCAGCAGGAAAAACAGCCCCAGTGATGGCAAGAGCAGGTGGCTAGACAAGAGGAGGAACCCAAGAAGGAGGCGGAGAAGACGGAGGCCGCGCTTTGATCCTCTCGCCGTGCCTCGCCTCTTGGCCCGTTTGCTTTGGAGGAGCCTTCGGACCAGCAGCGGGCTCAGAGATCTGAGTGTGCTGTCTGCCGCGAAGAGGATCCCATGCTTCAAGGCAAAAGGTGTCGGTGAAGGTGGAGGCCGAGGGTGCCGACGGTCTAAACGAGCTTCGCTTCAACATGCCAAGCTGGCATGATTTCCGCGTGAGGCGCAGGACAGTTCAATCTGTGACCGCTGCCAGGCGTCTGTCGACGCCACTTGCGAAGATGATGCAGGCATTGGGCATCGATGAGTGTGTGGCCACGATGATGTAAACGTCGGGGCTTCTGACCACTTCGGCCGGGGCGGAGGTTGCTTTGCTGAGGGGTTGGGGTGTCTAATGCTTTTTCAACCGGTTCCACGCATCCTTCTTGCAGCAATCATTCTGGGTTCAGCGCCTTTTGATTCGTTAATGGCAGTTTGTACTCGTGCGATTGGCATAGTTGCGGCTCTGGATTTTCAACTAGAGTCGACCGAACGTTTCGGGCCTCGCAACTCCTTTGCTTGGCTAGAGCCTGGGGTGGCACGACGCAGGGTTCAGCAGAATCACAAAGCCAAGCTGCATGCCTGCCTGCGCCTTGTCGTTCGACTCCCGACTCCCACCCCCCTGACTTGAAGCTTTGGGTAGGATCGGGGGTTGGAGGGCCTTCCCAGCTTCTGTTCTTCAGGGCATGGCATGTATCCACATGGGTGGTTGGCAAAATTATGGTCCTTTTGGGGTCCCTTACTATAGTACGGCACAATATATTCAAGGGTAGCCAAAAACGGACCATAATCTTTCACAACCACCCACATCATGGCAGGCTTGGTGCGAGCATCACCAAGTTCCGATGGAAGATGCGGCTTTCCTGCTGGGAAAAGTGGCCTTGAAACCAGAGGAGATTTCAGAAGCATTCACCCAGTCAGGCAGCTCCTACTTGTTTATTTGTTTCGTGTCGTGCAGGACACCCTGCATGGCCTCGGCTGCAGTGACGGCAAGGAGGTGGTCGTGAGAGCGGTGGGCACCTTACTTCCTTTCGTCCCAAGTTGCTACCTGGGTTTCCGCTGGCACATGCAGCAGGTGCCTCGGGAAGAGGAGGAGGCCAACAGAGAGGCAGAGAAGACCGAGGCCCAGGTACCTCGCGAGGAGGAACCCAAGAAGGAGGCGGAGAAGACGGAGGCCGCGCTTTGATCCTCTCGCCGTGCCTCGCCTCTTGGCCCGTTTGCTTTGGAGGAGCCTTCGGACCAGCAGCGGGCTCAGAGATCTGAGTGTGCTGTCTGCCGCGAAGAGGATCCCATGCTTCAAGGCAAAAGGTGTCGGTGAAGGTGGAGGCCGAGGGTGCCGACGGTCTAAACGAGCTTCGCTTCAACATGCCAAGCTGGCATGATTTCCGCGTGAGGCGCAGGACAGTTCAATCTGTGACCGCTGCCAGGCGTCTGTCGACGCCACTTGCGAAGATGATGCAGGCATTGGGCATCGATGAGTGTGTGGCCACGATGATGTAAACGTCGGGGCTTCTGACCACTTCGGCCGGGGCGGAGGTTGCTTTGCTGAGGGGTTGGGGTGTCTAATGCTTTTTCAACCGGTTCCACGCATCCTTCTTGCAGCAATCATTCTGGGTTCAGCGCCTTTTGATTCTTTAATGGCAGTTTGTACTCGTGCGATTGGCATAGTTGCGGCTCTGGATTTTCAACTAGAGTCGACCGAACGTTTCGGGCCTCGCAACTCCTTTGCTTGGCTAGAGCCTGGGGTGGCACGACGCAGGGTTCAGCAGAATCACAAAGCCAAGCTGCATGCCTGCCTGCGCCTTGTCGTTCGACTCCCGACTCCCACCCCCCTGACTTGAAGCTTTGGGTAGGATCGGGGGTTGGAGGGCCTTCCCAGCTTCTTTTCTTCAGGGCATGGCATGTATCCACATGGGTGGTTGGCAAAATTATGGTCCTTTTGGGGTCCCTTACTATAGTACGGCACAATATATTCAAGGGTAGCCAAAAACGGACCATAATCTTTCACAACCACCCACATCATGGCAGGCTTGGTGCGAGCATCACCAAGTTCCGATGGAAGATGCGGCTTTCCTGCTGGGAAAAGTGGCCTTGAAACCAGAGGAGATTTCAGAAGCATTCACCCAGTCAGGCAGCTCCTACTTGTTTATTTGTTTCGTGTCGTGCAGGACACCCTGCATGGCCTCGGCTGCAGTGACGGCAAGGAGGTGGTCGTGAGAGCGGTGGGCACCTTACTTCCTTTCGTCCTGGGCCAGCTGACAAAGTCCAGCAATTTGGCAGGTGCCGCGCGCAGATCAGGAGGCCAAAGGGAGGGCAGTACTGGTACTTGTCGCAGTGCTTGTGAAAGAGGCAGCTGCGGCCTCTCTGGCTGCCGTTCCGTCTGCGGCGCCGACGGTTGCGGCAGCGGCTGCTACCGCTGCCGTTCCTTCTGTGGCGCCGGCTGCTGCTGTGGCAGAACTCGAGGCATTCTCCAAATCGATTGTGTCTGGTGTTTCGCATGGCGGGGAGCTATGGGAACTTGAGCAAGTGGCAGTGGCAGGAATCGTCGGCAAAGGCCGTTGTTGCAAAGTGCTCCTTCCAGCTGCCTGGCTGCGACCTGCTCTGCATGTGCAGGTGTCTGTGAAGGTGTTGGCCGAGGGCGCCGACGGTGTCAACGAGCTGTGCTTCAGTGTGCACGCCTTCCCTGTTTTGTATTTCATGCCATTCTCTCGCTCCACGGTGGCTTTGGCCAGGCGCACCACGACACCGCTGGGTAAGATGATGAAGGCACAGCTGGCCAAGCCCTTCTTTTAACATGCATCGTGCCTTTTGTTCAGGCCTGGTGTGACCACCACCAAGTTCCGGCAGAGGAAGCTGCGTTCTTGTTGGGGGAGCGGCTGGTGAAGCCCGAGGACAGGTTAGGCATGCTCGTTGTTCGCCATGGCACAGATCGCTCTTGGAAGGACACGCTGGCGACACTGGGCAGTGGCACCGATTCGGTGGTGTTCCGCGCCGCCGCCAACCCAGAACGGCGGTCGAGTGAGTTTTCTGCAAGAATCGCATGCGGCCCACCGCTGCTCCGAAAAGGGTCTCCATATGTATATATATATATATGTGTGTGTGTGTCTGTACGGACTACAGGAAGCCCCTTGTGGAGTTGCAGAGAGGATGACCTGTCCTTTCCCGGAGCACAAGATCTTGGACTGTGCAGGACGAGCACCTGTGCGAAGTCTGCGTGGACATGACCACGGCAATATTGCCCACAACCCACAAGCTGCTTTCTGCTGAAACAAGACAGATGTTTGCAATGTGTTTTCCAGATTATCCACGACACTTAAGACGTTTCTGGGTGAGGTGACACAGTCAGCACATGCCAGACAAAATCGTAAGCTTCCACGACCCCCGATCACATCGCTCAAACAAGGCTGCCGAACCGATCGCCCTTAAGCCCTAAGTGCAAGCATTAGGACGATGAAGAACTGAAGATTGCACTGCTTCGTCCACATTTGCTCATGTTTGCTATGTTTGCGCCAGCATAAGTGCAGGCCCTGCCTTGCTAACCCTGATTAGCAGCCGTGGAAACACCAATTTCCGACGGCGGCTGTCAAGTTACCAGGCCGGAGCTACATCTTTCAAAACGCTTGCGGTTGGTAGCAGGGTTCAACCGCAACATGTTGTTGTGCTAGGTCTTACCGGACTTGCCTCTGCCTGTGCGACCGTTGTAATGTGCTTTGCACGGAAGCTTCCAGTTTTTCCCTAGGGCACTCGCAGCACAACAGTGAAAGACACACATCGATGGGTTGCAATTGACATGACTGGCACACCGCAGACAGGTCTGTCGAGCTATATTCAAGGATCTGATGGGCTCTTGGCACTACGGTGGCCGAACGTGAGTTCGTCAGCATGTGTGAAACAGATTTGAACGCCGCTTTATTGTTTAAGCCAGTGATGAGTGACTTCAGCGAGCGATACCTGTTTTGCCGAATGAGTGCCTGTATCATACCACAACATGATGACATCGAGCAGACCACTGGGACGGTCCGTCATTGGTTCTCAGGTTCCACGCGACCAGGTGGAGAGTGCGAAGGAGGCCACGCCCAAGAAGCGAGGCCGGCTGAGTGGACGCTTTCACAGAAGCCTCACTGGGACCGGGCCTCGCGGCAGGAGGGCCGAAGGAAGCGAAGGCGAAGCCAAAATCGCCGAAGCTGAAGGAGAAGCCCGAGAAGGCCGAGAAGGTCGCGAAGGCCGAGAAGCCCAAAGCCAAGGCTAAGAGCAAAGGCCTGGTGCAAGCACTGCAAAAAGGGCGCTGGTTTGGGGCTGGTAGATGCAGAGATCTCCGTGTTCGCAGGGAAGCGCAAGTGGACCGAGGAGGCCCGAGCAGACGCCAAGTTCCCTTGGACAGCTTTTCAGAGTTGTCGAGGATTCCGATTCCGATGGAGCCAGAGAGCAAATCTCATCCGGCGAGGCCACTTGCGCCAGGTCTCCCTAGCAGGTGGTCAGTAGGTCATGGTTTCCTTCTTCGCAGGCCGTGTCCGGCGCGCGCCGGAGCCAGCGGCTGCGTGACCCGGAGTCCCCTTCCACACAGGCCGCCCGCCGGGCACAATTGGCCATTGGCCAGGGCCGGGTCTTCTCCGAGCCGAGAGGTCACGTCCTCGACGCTGGTCCATCACCCTCCTCAGGAGCAAAGAACTCGGAAGGCCGTTGCAGGCGAAAGGTCTTGACATGCTGAGCTGCGAGATGCCAGGGCCTGCTAGCGCCGGAGCTCACGCAGCACACTCGGTCTTTGGGGCAGGAGTGCCGAAACTGTCGGCTTTGCACGAACCGAGGAATCGCATGAGTTTCCGCGAGTACTTGGCCTACGATCGTGAGCAGGAGTCTGATGCCGGTCGAGCAAGGAAGAGGACAGAGGACGTCTTTTCGCACAGGAGCGGCAACGCAACCAGGCTCGCTTGGACCGGCAGAAGCGAAAGCTGGTAAATGGTGAGAGTTCAGACGAGGACGTCAGCTGCCTTGCGTTTTTTTTGAGCGGGTCGTGAAACCAGATGTTTTGTCTATCTTGTGTGAGCTCTGGTGTTGCGCGGAATTGCGTTGTCCAGCAAGGTTTGCCAAAGCACCAGTTGTTTCATGCTCTGGATTCGACATTTTCCGTTGCAGCATTGCACTGCGGATCCGTCCGCCTGTGCATTGTGACCCTTGCAACTCCGAGCCAAGAGGTAAAGTCGGCGCTGGGACGCACCTTCGGCGTGGATTCTGGTTCAGCAGTCATGCCCCCATCTCGTCTTCATCAGCTGAGAATCTGAGCCCTCGTGAGTCATCATCACAATCAATCACAAGGAGCCATCTCGTCATCGTCTTCATCTGGCTCTTTTACCTCCATCATCTGAATTCTCATTACCGTTATGTTCGCATGTTTGGCGTGTATACCTCACCAGCACCAGCATGAGCCGCACTAGAAAACAATAAGACATAACATGGTTGCGAACCATCCGCCGTGAATATGTCCCATCCCGTCGAAAGGATGAGCGAGTCGTCCAAGTCGGAGGTCTGCTAGACTGTCTTTTTGGCGGTTTTGTGTTGGGTCCGAGCGCTCGTGGCAATGGGCATTCCGCCCAAGCTGTACTGCGTGGTGGGATACCTGAGGACGTGAGCCCATGATCTACATTGCTGTCAAAGTTCATGTATGCAATGTTTGTCGCCAGTTTTATGATGATGGTGCAATAATCTGAAAGTCTGCAGGATGAAGCAACCTCTGAAAAGGTGGTTGCTGCCAATGCGTGTGGGATGCAGCATTTGCGCATTGAGTCACACACGACTCGATGTTGTCGGAATTTTGCGCAAACACTATCGGTCCGCAATCACTGCTTGATATTTGGGCACATGCTCGGCGGCAACCCTTTGTGTTTGACTCGCCGTTGTGACTTTCTGCTGCATAGTACCTTGCCCAACTAGAGGATCCAAACCGAATCACTGCGCACGTGCAGAATGAAGTCAATCCGTCACGGATGCCCATAGAGCTTCAAAAAGTCCCGGCATGTTCGGTTGTGCCATCACCACCAGCAACATACAAGTGAAACATGTCTCAGAGACGTAGCCACGAGACAGTCCGAAGAGGACCTGCAGCTGGCACTGGCTCTTTCCATGTCCGAGAGCCAGGAGAGGACCCCGCAGGCCGGGCCGGGCCGGGCCCCGGGGCCCCGGGGCCCCCCGTCCTCCGCCGTCGTCGCTTGTTTTCAGGGAGAGATTTCTTTGTGCTTGGAAGGATGGGCGAGATGACGGGAGCTGACCCTTGCGTGGTGGCTTCCAAACTAAAAACCGTGAAAGTCGCGCAGCGCAGTGTACAGAGTGACGATGAGCTGACCACAGTGTACAGAGTGGGGTTGGCGCGGACTGTGCAGAGATCCGCATCTGGGCCTTGATGGGGTGTCCGGGCAAGCTGGAGACCTTGTCGAGCCTGGGAATGTCTAGGGTGGCTGAGGCGAGTGAACACGGCTTTGTCATGCAACGCAGACAGCCCTGCGATGCCTCAGCCTGGCCCGCATTCACATTCGTAGGGCGTCCCGGCAGGTTATGTCATCGTCGCAGCAGCCACTAAAAGCCGAAGGCCTGCTGGGACTACTTTTCGAGGCGCAGCAGCTGTGCGCAGCTTCCCCCGCGAGCCCGAAAACATTCGTGACCCTGGACCCTCCAGAGAATTGCAACTTGGGCCGCGCAGCATTATTAGTTGTTCAACCCTTCAGCTGCCTCGATTGTTCCGGCTCTGGGAAGCCTATCCGTTGTACACTGCATCATCAACTGAAGCTTTGGTGTATATAGACGGTTCAGCACATGCTTCGGAAGCCTGCCTTTTCTGTCGGTTGCCCCTTGCAATGGCAGCCCGTAATCCTGGACCCTTCTTGCAACAGCTGCTGGCTTGGAAGTACGAGGGAGCTCAGGGGAGCCTCAAGACATGTCGTGGCTAAGGACTCCCGTGGGCTTCCCGTCCTACACACATCACATCCGACGGTGTAGCTGCCCGGTTGGTGCTCGTGTACTCGCGTACTCCTGCAGGCGACGTTGCTGTTTTTGTCCACGCTGTTGCAGGGATTGGCTGGCGAGGAAGGCCTTCGAAAAGAGCGAGGTGAATACCCGCGTGTACAAGGCCAGAATCCGAAGTTCTGCTTCCGTGTGCCACAACTTAGCCCGCATGTTGGCAGGCAATCTACGAAAACATGGGTGTCAGAGGTAGTATTCCGATCAACAAGCCTTTGCCTCATCTTGTAACAGCGGGGCAAGGGAATGCTTCTCCTCTTCGCCCTCCCGATGCTTCCGGAAAATTCGAGGTATGTTGGGCGCAATCGGATCCGTCTCCGGGGCATCACGGAGGGATTTGCCCGTGGCAACAAGAGGCAGCCTGGCATCACTAGAGAAGAGGATGTCATTGTTTGTTGAGAGGTGGACCCACATGAACAAGCACGGTTTCGGCCTCGCCTACCGAGAAGGATGGTTTCTGAAGTGCCCTTGACATCTTGTGTGTATTCTTTGAGACCCGAAGCTGGAGGCAGGTAGGCTGCAAGCAAGTACAGGGGACAGTACACCACAAGTGCAATGAATCTTGGGTCCGGGAAAAGATCGAGCAGATCCTCTGACAAGAAGGCGTGCGACGGTGCCTCACAGGCATTTCCAAGGGAGGGCAAAGAAGATAATGAGTGTCTGAGGATAATGAGAAGTTCGCCCCATATGCATCTCCTGGCCACCTCGATTCCCGAGGGCAAGTTTCTCGGGACTGCCGCAGGTACGGCTTTGACCCGGAGCGATATCACTGAGGAAGATGAGCTGTTTCGATGATGCCCACAGTAGTACTTGCCGATAGCTTTGAGCTTGGAACTGAGACTGCGCAAAGAAAAAGCGGGCTTTGCCAGTTACGTTTACCTGCCTGTCGCCTGCAAACTGTCGTGCAAACTGCGAAGGCGCTACATCTGCCGAAGTGCTCGAGGCCCAAAAGTCCCAAGAGCCGGGCTCATCAGCGGCTTCACAGTGTTTCGAAAGGCAGGACCGTAAAGAGCATGGCACAGTGATCACCGAAGACCGTCGAGTTACCGCCATGGCTTTCATGCGGCTGCAAGTCTTGCGCAGAGGCCAGGGACTAAACCTAAACGGGAAGAAGGGAAGGCCCAAGGGGAGCTTTTGCATTTGCTGCGCACCGAAGGCCTTGCCAGCGGCCTTGCCAGCTTGCAGCGGCCCCTCAGCTCCCTCTGCTCGGTTCCGGCGCTTCCAGAGAGGCTTGCAGCAGGGAAGCGAGAACGCCTCCGGTGTGCTTTGCTCCTCTGCGCTCGTAATCTGCCTATCGAATCAGGCAGATTTTCCAGCACATGTCGGCTGACAGCGTAAACGCGGTCCTCAGGCAAGATACCCAGAGGGGGCTCGCAGCAGACTGCGGATGCATGGCATGATCGTGAACGTACCTCTGTCAGGGCTCCTGCAGCCGACCGCGCTTTGCAGAAATCAGGGCCTTCTCCCATCGGCTTCGCCTTTCTGCCAGGCGAAGGGAAGAGGGAAAGCCAGAGTAGGGTGGGTTTGCCGTTCACTTCGGGATGCAGTGTGTTCCAGGGGTGCTGCTCTTTCGCCTTGTCACACAAGTCCGAGTCGAGCGGACTTTACCGGCCGGTGAGGTCCTGAGGAAAGACTCACGGAGTTGAACGGACGTCTGCAGAAGCCTGCAATGCAGGCTCCGAGCCGTTTCGTGATTTCTTTGCACCGTCGCTTGCTGCCTTCAGCTCTTGCTTTAGATATCGGTCTTGGCACACTGTCGCAAGTTTCGCTGGGTTTTTCAAGAGTTCTGCGAGGCGTTGAACACACGGAAGGATTATCGCCGGTGGAAGCGGCGACGAAAGCAGGATGGTGGTCGGGTTGCTGAGCCCGGACTCTCCCAGTTTCGCTTTGGCACCCTTAGCCACCTTTGACCGCACCCAGAACCGGCACTTCCGCCTCAAGTACGGCTGAGAGATGCAGAGCAAGGTTGATCCGATTCTGTTGCATTTTGGGACGTAGAGACACCGACTCAGTCAATGTCCCAGCCCTTCCGGTCGTGTAGCCAAAGGTTACCAGCAGGTGTCCCGATGATCGGAAGCAGAGCTATGTGCGCGCAGTCTTTTGCAGAAAAGGGAGGTCATCTGAAGCCAGATCCAAGGTGGAACTTTCACTTTCCCCTTTTGTTTGCACGGCTCTACAGTCGGGGTGGAGGGCTTGCGAAAAGACAGACGTGGACTTAGGCGTAGAGACGGTGGCATCTAGCATCATTGCAGATCCAGTGTTCGTAGCGTGGTGACCCTGTGGTGCAATGGCGCACGCGGAGTGGGACCTCTGGGGCCGCCTGGAGAAGATAGTTCAGGAGAGGAGGGTCTGTCGCTGCATTGCGGTCTGCATCTTGCCGAGAATTTACCAGGATGGCAGTTACATGTCCGCAAACGAGGACCTGCATGCAAGATTACACTTTCGGCCGTGATTTCTTGCATTGTCAGCACTGAGTTGGGCAGTTCAGGGTCAATCTTTGCTGCCGCAGCCGTCCCCGAACGGGGCCAGGGCACATCGCAGGCACCCAACGCCGTGCCGCACGAGCGAACGACGACGTAGCATAAGGTCAGAAGCACTAAGCGCACAACGGACGCGAAACACATACCGTTCTTTGCTAGTGGCGCCATGGCCATTGCCATGGACACCGGTGGGCAGGGAGTTAACTCGCAGTTACTGGATGACTACTACAGAGCGAAAGATTCGACCGAAAGCCACGAGGTAGAGACTCGCGTCCAGAAGCTGATCTCACTCTCCAGGAGCCGCTCTCCGAGTGCTCAAAAAGAGAAGAAAGAAAGAGGAAGAGCCGACCCCAAGGATGGGAAAACTAAGAGGGAGAGGGAGAAGTCGGAGAAGCAGAGCAAGCCGAAGGCGGAGGAAGAGGCTCACGTTCTGGGCGCTTGGCTCCAGGATGCGCACGTCCTGGAGCTCCTCAAGCTGCACGCAGATGGAAAGAAGAAGGGCAGCGGCACCACCCAGAGCCAGAGCCAGCCTGAAGTACCCCAGACGAAGGCCACAGACAAGGGCACTGGCAAAAGGATGCCAGCAGCGGAGCCAAAGCATGATGCCGGCATGGCAATGGCGACAGCTCCAGATCAGATGAGCTCGGGCACGAAAACCAGGAGGACGCTCATCTCTCTCTGAGCGGATCTCAGGCCGCGCGGGTGTAGTTCTGAGGAGAGAGGAAGAGCCTGCCAGCCGTAGGCCGTAAAGTGCGAGCCGGCACGCTTTTTCCAGACCTCTCCAGCTTTTCCGCTGCAAGGGTCTTCAGAGCATTTGCAGCGTGTCTCCTTTAAGAGTGCCCGTACGGAGTACAGCACGCATCATTACTTCATTACCTCTGTTACTTGTAGAGATTCGGAGTCGTCCAGCTAGCGGCGGCCCTTTCAAAGAGTGATCTGAGAGGCATGGCCGTGACTGTTGGTTTGGAAGCTTCGCAGTTGCGTTGTGCTTCGTGAAGTGACAGGAGTTCACGGCCCTGAAGGGCTTGGTCCAGAAAGCCGATGCTTCCGAGCTCTCCGCACAGCTGGCTCGAGCACCCTTGGCCTGGGAGCCGCTCGGACTCGGACCGGAGCAAAGAGGTTCTGAGAGCCTTTTTTTTCACCTGTGGCGCTGCCAGGTTCCTCTTGACCTTCGGAGCAAAGAAGCCCTTCTACAGGCCACGGGTCACTTCCAAGAAAGCTTCTCGCTGCGCAGCCTTAGCTGTCTGAACCGGGGACAGGTCGCACCTCTGCCAAGTGGTCGAGGCCTTGCTGGCACAGCCCAGATGGCGGGAGGTTTATGCCAGCAGCCAGGACTGCTCACCATGCCTCAAGTCAAGGTACTTGTATTGGGCTCTTGCACAAACGCCTAAGAAGTGCCTGCAGGCACCGTCAGCCAAGTTTCCTGCTCGCTGCATCGAGGAGCTGCAAGAGAAGGCTGCCGATCCCGTGCTTCATGCGGACATCAAGAAGGTGCGCGAGCAAGTGGAGAGCGGCCGGCGGCAAGGAACCGAAATGCAAGGCCTTGGCTACGGTGCCAGCGGCACCCGCAGCCGCAGCCGCTGCCAAGAAGGAGGAGAAGCAACGAGCAGGCGGTTTGGTGCCCTGAATTTTGGTCTCTTCCTGCCTTTCTTCCTTTCGTCTTGGCAGGTCCGAGCAAAGACGTCGAGTGGCCGAGCTGGGAAGTGCTCCAGGCAGGCAACTCCGCCTTCGATTTGCCCCCACACTTGCATGCAAGTGGCCAGAAAGGAGGTGGTACAAAAGGAGACCTTCATGGCTGCCAACGAGGAGTTTCGGGTTTTGAGGCCTGGAAAGAGGTGCTTGGTGTGGATTCATGCGCTGCTTGCTGCCTTTCAGGCTAGCTGTGCTTGCGGCAGATCCCGTGCAACTGGCCAGTGGTGTCGCTCAGTGGTTCGCGTCCTGCAGTTTTTACATAGGGTGATGCCACCTTCATTGCCACGCGAGGTCAGGTGGCGCACGCGCCAATGGTGCCGGGATCCCCACTTCCACAGCAGGGATATCATGCTGACTTACCAGCTAATCATGTCAAGTCGGTCGTTTCTGACAGGTGGGAGTTCATCGCCGGGTTCGCCGCGAAGAAGTCACACTTCAGGTTGGCAGTTAGTGGCGAAGAGATGCACCAGAAGATGACCTGCGCCTGCGCAGGTCCCAGGTGGTGGAAGTGACCAGTGCTTTGCGGAAGGAACGTGGCTGGGATGAAGCTCTCGAGGCCTTCTTGCAGGTGAAATGCAGCAGTTGCAACGAACGATGCACGTTGCACGACACGAACTCGAAGACGCAAGATGATGCCACTTCCTGCGAGATCTCCTTCCCTCTCCATGAGTGGACTGCGATGTTGCATAGGGCAGCTGGGTCGTGGAGAATTCGCCCCAGTCGATGCTGTGACATACGCTTGAGCTTGCTCTTTACCCATGCCAGCCCATGTGGACGTAGCCTCCCAGCATCTCGGAGCTCAAGCCGCAGGCCGTTCTGAGATTCCGCTGCAGGCTGCCCAGCCTTCCCTGCGCAGCCGCATCAACGAGTTGCCTGAAGCGGCTGCAGCGGTGCGAGGGCAACTGAGCCCCAACCTCAACCCTGCCAAGAGTTGAGTGCCGCTACTGGTAGTTAAGGTCGTCAGAGCATGGTGGTTTGGGGTGCGCAGTAGTTGCTTAAACTGGGACTCGAACAGCTTGAGGTTTGAGCAGCGCAGCTACTCGGGTTGATGTTGGATGCATGTTTATCCATTTTGCATGCTCCAGCTGCCACTGAGTGGGTCTAGTGCAAGGTAGATCCTGACGCCTCAGGTCGTGCCGACCAATCTCCTGCAGCTTCTGGTGGAGACTCCAGTCTGGGCGATGTCGGCGAGGAGAGCCCAGAGCTGACAGAGCCGCGATGAGCCGAGCAAAAGCCAGACCTCGTGCAGGAGGAGCACCAGACCCCCTACACAAGCTGCTCGGATCCAGGATGGCATGCATGAATCTATGAATCCCAACCGAGCCACCAAAGTCACCAAACCCCTCGAGGGCCAAAGCACGGACCGGCTGCGCCGCTGCGCCCTTGGCACAAGGTCCCGATTTCCAGTCCCTGGAGGAAAGGTCCAACCTGCCTGAGTCTTGGGGCTGTTGTGGGCTCCGGGGTAGTAAGTAGTAACTAGTAGCTGGTAACTAGTAGTATTATGTAGCAGTCGTAAGCAATCGAAAGAGCATGTATCGGAAACGATCGAGAGCGTGCTAGGTCAGCCGAACCAGGATCCATGCTGTCATCGGTACTTCTACCACATCTTCGTGACGACTTCTAGGGAGAGGGCTACTTGTAGTGAGACTGCCGCCTTATCATTCCTCACAGAAGCAGAAGGGCCGACCCCTCACCAACGGTGCCGCTGCTTTTGGCCCCCAGCTTTTCCCAGAGTGCGGCACGTCAGCCGGTCCGGCTGGAGTCGCCTGGATGCGTTTGGAAAGCGAAAGCGGTCACTCGTATCAGCTAAGAGTGCCAGTTGTATCACTGTATCATGAAAAAGGGTTCACTTCGCACCCAAGTCAGTGAGTGAGCCGTAAGCCCGTGAAGTGTCACAGATGCCCTGGGCTTTCTCGGTCCCTCCTACAATCCAACCCAGTCAGTGACGAAGTCACTCTTGGCTAGCAGAAGCAAACCTGCTGAGGGATACTGCTGCAGGTTTAGCTTGTCAGCCAAGAGCCCTAGAACTAAGTCATGCCGCTTCGACAGTTGGTTGGGATCCAGGTCTGATACGGAGACTTTGTGCTTTGTCAGCCGAGGGGGCCACTTCCCGGGACATGCAAGTGAAGGAAATATTCTATGTTTCTCAGCGGCATTCTGCGACGAAGTCACAAGTCCCACAGTTTGCGACACGGGGATGTAGAGCAGTGCAGCTTCGCGTGAATGGATCGGGGAAGGTGGTTGACTGGCTTTGCTGCTCGTTCTTGGTTGCCGCAGCACGTGCTTTGCTTTAGTGCTCCTTGAGAACGCCCGTGCCTCCGCAGCCGCACCTTGCATGCATTCAAGTCGCAGTTTCACTTCGCATCTGTGGTTCGCGTGCCTCTGCAAGATCATAGCACCATCATGGCGCTGCCAAGGTAGCATGATGTATCGCCTCGCTGCATTGTGCCTGGCCCTGGCTGCTGGCGAGGAAGTCATGTCGGGGCTTCCGTTACATGCGTGTGTGAGTCCGTCTTGTGGTGATCTCTCCATCTTCTGCCCTTCACTGCAGGACACAGCAGCGACCCGGCCGGCCTGGGCCCTCAGCTGTACCAGCAGCTCTAAGCTTTGCTGTGGGCTTTCCAATCTCCCCTGTCCAGGTGGCCTTCATGACCTTCAGGCCAGCTCAGGAAAGCAGTGGCGAAAACGTGGGCTGCGTGGGAAGCTCGCCGGCAGACGTCGGGCCCGACTACTACGAGGAGCCATCCAAATCACCGCTCAAGACTTGCTAAGAATTTGGCAAGTAACACCCAAGTCGAAGACGACGGCGAACACAGCAGGGAGGAAGGAAAGTGGACATGGTGGAAGTAACATGTAAACAAAGGCAGAAGTGACGTTAAGGAATCTCAGCCAGCAATGCTGGGCTTTTAATGCTGGGCGGGCTCGCTGGCCACCACTCAGAGCCCAGCCACTAAAAGACATAGAGAGACACAGCGGGCAGCGGGCAGAAGGTCGTCATGTAGGAGAGGAGATGCGAGGATGCGGGCGGCGTGGAACATCGTGGAACTTGCGGCGCCTCTGAGCTCTGGCGGTTCGCGTAGCACGAAAGTCTCACTACGTCTCCTCGCCTTTCCTCGCCCCTTCGAATGACTTCGCCGCCTCGATGCGCGCGCGCGAGTGTTTGAGCGGGAGCGGTGTTTAGGAGTCTTACGGCTGCTCTTCGCTGGACGTGTGCAAGACCAAGTGCATCTACAACGTGAAATGTGTAGGCTCGGTTCAGAAGCTTCCGACAGCTCCCAGCAGCAACAGCACGCTTTAGATGCCGCAGGCATCGAGTACAGCGAGGGAGACGACGGCCGCTGCAGGGTCTGGACCCGCCAGGAGGGCATCGGAGGAACGGTCCCCTTGACGAACTACGAGCCTTGGCAGAGCAAAGAGCAGCTGATGGGAAGAGTGGAGCCACTTCGAAGCCGAGCTCTTGTTGGTGATGGCGTGATCTGAGGTTTGCCTGCAGTACGGCCACAACTTGACCTCAGGCAGGGGCTTTCCTTTCTCTGAAGACCCTTGGCCCTAACTGAGAGCCCAGAGAGCCTTGCAGGTGAGTATTGCTGGAGCTTCTTGCGGGTCGAGGGCAATGGTGGGCCGGGGACACCGGACAAGTACAAGTGCCTCGAGGCGGCTGGTGACGAGTAGACTCGCTACACATGCTACACGCTTGTGCCAGCACACCTGGACAGACAGCCGAGCTCGGCGACGGTCGTAGACTTCTCGTGTGAGCGCTCAGCCTCCTGGTAGCAGCCATCAGGAGAGGGGCCTCGGAACGCTGCGTAGACACGTGGCCCCTTTCGGGCGCAGCCCTTTCGAGCTGCGGCCGTGCGGCTTTGAACGAATTCGCACTTGCACATGCCAACTTCATGCTGACCCCTAGCAGTAGCTGGCATGATACCTTTCGAACCAGCTGAACTCGATACAGGCTGGAGTTAGTTGTAGCTGTAAAGACGCCGGCTAAGTGTCCGAGTAGATGGGAGAAGTATATACACTACTTCCTCTCAGGTGCGACAAACGTCGGTAAGACACCGACTTGTCAGGCTGTGGAAAAGTTGTGCAACGTCTGGCTTGATGCCTGGTCCTTCCGCAACAGTGACTGGATCTGTTTTGCGGTGGGCCGCAGTTGAGCAGACATTCGAGGTTGCAAACATCATTGACTACGACGCTTGGTCTCGATCTTTGGTTCCAGTGCAAACGTCATGCGGCTGTCGTCTTGTTCTCCGAAGAGAGCGGTCCCTGCCCTATCGATGCTGTAGCGTTCTGTGCAGGGCCGAATCCTGACGCTGTACTGGGCAGTTCGGGCTCCTGATGGAGCCACATTTGCGAGGCCCAGCCGCACCTAAAGAGGTACATGCCAGCATTCATCTCTCCCTTTGTCTGGCTCCAGTCGCGCCCTGCCCCTCCACTCCCGCTCCCTCTCCCGCTCCTGCTCCTGCACTCCCTCTCCCTCTCCTTCCCCCCGCTCGCTTGTTCTTTCACTGCCTCTCTGAGGCTTTACTATTCCGTCAGCTACCTCCTGGACTGTATAGACGGCTACGCAGCACGTGCCCTCAACCAGGAGTCTCGCTTGGGCTCCTTTTCTGAAGTGCATGCAGCCTTCCAAACTAGCACTGTCTCCTGCCACCATCCGACCGAGGCTACTACTTAGACATGGCACCTTGGCCTCTTTGAGCGAAGCCCGAAGCCCCCTTTTCCGTGGCGTATTCCAGCCGGCGCGGCTGAGGTAATTGACCGCGTCTCTTCCTGTCCCTCGGCAAGATCTTCAGGGTTGCAGGGATGTGAGGAATGTGATGAGGCTGTCGAAGCCTCCAAGCGTAAGATCGAGTCCCGCAAGGCTTGTGCCTGCACTTTGCCGCCAAATCCGTTCTCGAAGGCAGTTGCACGTTGACGAACGCCGCACGTTGTACATCTTGCGAATTCTTCCGCTCATCGGCCCGGTCCAGCGTCGCTACAGGTCGGACATGCTTTGGAGCCAGCGCGGCCCCCATCGTCGTGCTTCGGCGCAGATTTAACGAAACAAGCAGTCGTACACACAGGAGTCGGAGACGAAGAAGCTGAGGCAGCCATTCTTCGAAGCCTCATTGTGCCCGTTTCGGCAGTTAAACGCATGACCACCCGCTGGGGAATGCATCGAATGCAATGGAGTCCTTCTAAGCGTTTTACCCTGTCAAGGTGTTGGTGGAAATTGTGGCTCACGTTTCCGTCATGTTCCTCTCAGAAGTTCTTGGCGTTCACCAAAAGCAGATGGGATACTCAGCCGAGTAGATGGGTAGGCGGTTGAAGTCGGTGCCAAGCCGCCTGGCAAGTCTTCTTGAGCTAAGGGTATGACTACACCATCGTGCGGCATCTCGGCTTGGAAAGCAGAAGAGTGCGCTGTCTGTTTGGAGTAGTGCTCGTTTGTGGAGCCTCAGGAAATACTTGAGCGTGCCTCTCCCAGCACTGGGTTGCACCATTGAAATGGTTTCCTGTGTCGTGGTTCCAAGAGTGCAGACGTCAAAGCCGAGGACAAGAGGTACTTGTTCTGGTCCTGCCTCAGCCGCTCGGTGAATATTCCCGGGCCCGAGTGATGCTCCGCGGATTTCCTTGGACCTCTGCTGTTGGGACTTCAAAGGCTTCGAGCTGTTTGGGCTCAGCCTGATCGTCAACGCGACCCCGGTGCCGTGGCGAAGTGCACAGTAACTCAGTAACGACAGAGACGGGTGATGATGCTAAAGTCTCGCATGCATTCTCGGACCTGCTGCATACAGTCTGGTGGCATTGGTTAGGGGAGGCGGCACACACGTTCGCATTGGATGAGGTGGTTCTCATCAGCCTGCCCGGCTTCATTTTCCGTGCAGCGGCCAACATCTGCCGGTTAATATCCATTCTGACGAGAAAGGAGACTCGGAGACTCTGTGCATCTCCGAGCCAAGCTGTGATTTGCTCTCTCCGCTTTCCATTATCGCCCTGTGCTCGAGTCTGACTTGCAGGAGTCCAGGAGATGGACGGAAGAGGAGGAGCACGGCGGCTTCGGGAAGGGATTGCTAAGGGATTGCTAGGTGATGCAAAAAAAGCGGATGAAATACCGTGTCGCCAGTCTTGCAAACCTTGTGGGGCAGTCTGGATGCTGTCCGATCGAGCTGGTGTGCTGGCTGCCTTGCTTGGTGCTCTCGCGACCAGGACGCCCGGCAGTCGTCTCGAGAGAAAGTGCGACGAGGCTCTTCCGACAGGCCTTGGCCCTGGCATGCCCTGGCCGTATTCGGGTTGAAGAGTCATTGGGAGCATTGGTCACATCTTGAATCTGGATTCAACAAGGCTTGGCAACCACCGTGCAGCTAGCCCGGAGGGCGCACAGGCCTTTGCCGCTGTGGTTTCGCTTGGATTTCTCCACGCTCTCGCAGTGACGACTCTCTGCGTGACGGCCCGAGCAGCCTTAGCCCGTGTGCTGCAGGTCGTCCGCAGAAAGCGCAGCAACGAGAGCACGCAGGCGCAAGCGTGGGCTTCTGACATCCGCTTCCCCTGTTCTACAAGTGTCTGGTCACAGGCATCTGCAGAGAAGGAGCCTGCGCAATAGTGAAGAGGCCCGGCTGGCTCATCGATTTCTGTGGCACAGAAGCCATCGGACCAAGGCGCAGGCGCAATCTTTGTGCAGATCTGTTCACAGCGGAGACGTGAGATGTCTCATCGGTAAGGCTCGCGCTACAGACTCCATCTATTCGGTTCTACTGATTCTACTAGTCCCAGTCCATGACTCATGAGTGTCGAAATTCACCCGCTCTGTCGCTGGGACGGTTCGCGGTGCAAGAATGGTCGTTAGTGACACAGGTGTCTCGAAAGCACTGCACAGAAGGCAGAAGAGACAAACACTGTTCCTTCTTCGCTTTACGCCGATGACCTGTGTGCCTCGAAACAAAGGAACTCCGCTTGCCTCGCCTGTGCCCCTTCCAGTAAGAGGGTCGCGGGGTTGATGTCAACAGCGAGTCTCCAACGCGGGAAAGCGGCCCAAGGGGAGGGCCGGGGTGTAGGCACAGGGTGTCCGGGCCCCGGACAGAATGGAACGGATGTTTTCAATTCTGGCTGTGGCCAGCGTGGCCTTCCGGGCTCCTTGCGCTGCCGCCGCGGCCGAGCCGAAACCTGCATTCCCACGGCAGATGAGTTACAAGTGCACAATGCACGTTAGCGTGGACTCCCACGACCTCTTCGCAGGCCTCACGAGTCGTTTCTGCACACCACATGTGCATCTTCCCTGCTGGAGGCAACAACTTCAGCGGGACGCACTACCTCAATGCCGACCTCCAGGCCTCAAAACCCTGGCGACGAGAGTCCCCAAAGCTCCAACATCTCCAACCCCTCTTGGTCACAGGTGATGAGGACCGAGTGGCTCATGACTTGCCCTGGTGTCACCTGTGGTCGCTTTGGGCCCAACCCGACCTCCGTGGGCATCAACGCCCACGGCCGGGAGCAGGTCGTGACGGTGAGAGTAATCTCCGTTAGACCATGCAAGATCGCAGCACTAGAGCTTCCCTGGGAGGCGATGTACCAAACCACTGTCAACGAGAGGTTACCACCAGGACCTGGCAAAGCACAGGCTGTGCAGTGCCACAAGCTGCCATTGCACCAACCGGTCTTCAACGAAAGCTGGGCCGATGGAGCCCTCTACCGGGGTGTTCACTACCTAGATGGCCAGCTCTGCCATCGGTGGTCCAACACAGTGCCGCAGACTTGCTTTCAGAATCTTTCAGATTCCCGCATGACTTCGTGAAACGGCAGCTGCGGTTTTCGCCTTCGATCTCTTGAGGTCCCTTGGGCAGTGCAGCGTGTGCAGCGCATCTCGGACTTCTACTCAGACTTCTACACGAATCTGCCGGTGGCCTCGATCAGCGAGGACGGCGCCATCGACCTGCGCTTCTTCGATTTGAATCTGCAGCTAATGCCGGAGTCGCTCTTTGATCCCACCGGACTCCATTGCGGAGAATGTGACGGCGATTGCGGCCCAAACTTGATGCTCGTGTAAGCCTTATCTTTGCGATACTGCAGAGAAAGTTGAAAGAGCCACTGCGGACTGACCTGGGGCAGACCTCTGGATGATTTAGGAAAGCTCCCAACGTTGACCTTTGCTTCTGCAGCGTTTCAACAATTTTGTAGCAGGCTCGAGCCCACTTCATGGACCACCTGCACCTCCCTCTTTCAGCCGATGAAGTCGGCATGTGTAGCCATTATTGTGAAGCCATCGCGCGACACCCTAAATTTTGTAATTAGCATTCTGCAGGCTTGAAGGGCTTCGCTTGTGCCGTGCCCGATCGCCTGCCATGGCACGCCGGCCAGCTGCCGCGGTTTTGCTCCTGGCCGTTGTGGTGTGGCTGGCACCGAGGTGCAGCGAGGTGTAGCAGGATGTGGCGGCCTGTGGCCATTTCTATGGGAGGTGCTGGGCGCCTTCGGGACGAGATGGCCCGCAGAGCTCGCGGCCCAGAGTTCGCCGAAGGTTTTGAGCGGCGGATAGTCTTTGCATCGAGGCTCGGGCCCGGGCCGGCGGGCGTTGTTGCTGGGCTCGCTGGGCGTGGCTCAGCCTGCGATGGCGGAGGACGACAGCGATGTTTTGATTCTGTCGGGGCCGGAGCTGTGGCCTGTTGGACTCTGTCGCTTAGTTCGCGCACCGTGGCATGGCGTGCAGGAAGCTGCAAACAAGTTCAATCTTCGGACCACGGATACGCCAACGGGCGACCCATACCTCAGCGCAGTCCAAAGTCGGCAGGGAGATTTCAGACTCTGGACGGCAAGGAACGCTTTTGCGGTGGGGACCGTAGGCCCTGGGACGGGGACCACGAAGTCTTTGAGGCATCCAGCTGCCGGTCAATTGGCAGACCGAGCGACTTGCCTGACCTTTGAGCAATGAGCTGTTTGTCAACATGCTTATCTTATGCTGGTGGTGTCTGTCAGCTTTTCTGCATGCAATTCGGAAGCATTCGCTCGTAGGTTCAACGACTATGCCGGGCGGCTGATAGTCAGTGTCGCCCCTGGAGACAGTGTGAGGGGTCGACTTGCGACGAAAGCTGCCAAAAGCTGGAATGTCACATCAAGGCATGACGCCCGTGGATATGGAGGCTCTTCGCGCCGGTCAGGATCCTGACCTGACGGCTGTGCGCTGTGCCCGGCTGCCGTTGCCGGCCTTGTCGCTCAGCACAATTGTGCTTGGAATGCCTTGAAGTTGACGGAGCTTTTGATATCTTCGAGAGTCGAGAGCTGTGCTAGGCTGCGCAGCGCCAAGTTCATGCCCCGCGAGGGGGACGACCAGCGCAGCGACTGGAAGGCTTCCTCAATCGAGCTGGCGATGTTGCTTGCTGCCTGTTGCCTGAGCTTTTGTGTGGAGGAAGTGGCCCTGGGTGGCGTTACCGGCGCCAACATTGCCGAGTGGATGATGCGAGCCGGCCAAGAGGCGCCACAACTGCCGGACTGGTTACTGCTTACGACTCAGGGGCTTGAGTCAGGCCTCGATACATAGGGCTATAGGGACTATAGGGCTGCTCTGTCTCTTGGTCTTGGGCCGCAGAGGCGCAGATGGCACAGGCGGGCTTGCAGATGCCAGAGGCCCGCAGCCTTCACAGCACGACTCGGTAGACTTTAGAGCCTCGATGACTCGATGTGACGTGCAGATCAACATCAGCGTTGTCGATTACGCAATCAGCGACGGACCCGGCGGGAGCACGGCCTCCCGACAGCACTTTGCTGTGACACCACGAATTCTAGAAGCGATGCTTCGGACGCAGTAAGGCATGTGCGGCATGAGGGGTGCAGTCTCAAGCAGGTTCTCTCCTGGCATGCTGTGAGCGAGCTCCAGTTTAACAGCCCGGGAGTGGCAGCAGACCCCAATGAGCACCTTGGGCTCAGCGAGTTTTAGTCTTGCAGGAGGAGTGCGCTTCCGACACCTTTCTCTGCGGGTGTTCTCTTTCTGTGGGGCTCTAGCTCCGTTTGTCTTTCATTGTCTCTCGGTTTTCTTCCTCCTGGCCACCCCGGTCCGCATTCCCGAGGCAAGTGCAAGGTCTGGGAGGCATGGGCTTTGCAGCGTAGAGCAGGTAGAGGCAGGCGGCAGGCACGGGTCCAAGCCCGGCAGGCAAATCGCTGGTGCCCCTGTCAGAAGCCATCGGACGCCAAGACTCTTGAAGGCAATTAGAGTGGCCAGGTCCTGAAACGGGCAGATGGCTCCTTCGACTTACGGTCTAAGGCGCCGGGCCCCGCGAACGGTCAGGAGTCACCTCCTCAAGGCACTACTGGCAAAGCTATCCTGCTGCTTGGCAGTGGAAAGACGTTCGGGAGGAAAAGTGCGGTTCGCAGGGATAGACTGCCCAACTGAGGCGCAAGGGCATCGTCACCTTCGCACTGGCCTTGTCGCCGGCGGATCACATCCAGGCATCCTACAAGGGTCCACTCGGCAAGCAGTACTTGGACTACATTGCCGCCTGGCCTGGCCATGCGGGAGGGCGGCAGGAGGGGTGGTCTCTCGGCAAGTCTGTGGTGCTTTTGCTTCTGGATCTCAGGTGAACAGCTTGAAGCTGACGGCCTGAGCCGTGATATCCGTTTCAATTTCGTACTCGACACGTGCCGGCGTGTTGCCGGTCTTCAGACTCCCCCGTGCGTGCTCCAAGAAAGAAGACTCGACGGGATTGGGAAGAGACTGAGAGTGCCTGACTCTGACTGTGATCAAAGTCAAAGATGCCAGGCTCCGGTCAATGATGAGCTGCGTGGCGAACCTTGCGCCCGACCAGTCTTCGAGTGTTGATCAGGGCGAGGAGCGACTTCGATGACGGAAGCTGCATGAACTGCAGAAATGTGTTTCAACATACATCATTGACGAGCTTCAGTCGTCAGACTGGGTTGTCTCGCTGGAGTCCGCCCTGGGTAAGCTCCTGAAGAAGCGGCGGCAGGAGCCACAAATCGCAAAGGCCCCAGCAGCAGGCCCTGCCGAGGCTCGATCAGCATGGTCGGACTCGGGGCTCCCCCTTGCGGGATTCTGGCCTCAGGGTCTCCGGGAAGAGATGGTCAGCCAGCTCCTGGACGAAGCCAGGACCTCCGCCTACGAGGACAGCGGGCCTTCTCCGACACATTGGTTCTCGAAGCAGCGAAGTTGCGGCAGTCGCACGCTCCTATGGGCGGAATCCTGAAGCTGTTTCCTGATGGGAGGACGCAAGGCCTCCACAAGCTCCACAAGCTCCAGACCCGCTGCCGCCGCAGCAGGAACGCAGAGAGCGGTGAAAGCGGGGAGAGCGTGCTCCGTGCTCGCCGGATGCCAGCAGGAGCCTCCAAAGAAGGAGCCCCAAGGGGAGGCAGCACCCGAGGAGGAGCGCACAGAGAGCAGAGCGAAGAGCGAAGAGAGCTGAGAGCGGAGAGCCACTGGAAGCCAGAGCAGTGCCCAGGCCGTGTGTCTGCTCCAGCGGGCGGCGGCTCTGGAGGCAGCGTGAGCCCGTGCCCATGGGTTTGCCTATGTTTGCCTCAGTGCTGGGCCTCAGCTTTCCGTCGAGGCCGACGGGTCCCAGCCCGTGGCAGCGCACTACCGCCTCGACCCAAGTTGAACAGCACGTGCACGCAGTGTCTCTTTGTTTGGAGTTTTGTGTTGTCCGAGTTCGGATACATGCGCTGGAGATGCTGCTCGCGGCAAAGCAACGTGGACAGACCAATGCCACGGGCTCAGAGTCCTTTGGCTTCGGCATGTTGACCAGTTCCGGGCCGTGTCCCGATTTTTGAGGGAGTTTTCTTCCATTTGGGAAGTTCGGGAGTTTTTTCCGGGGCCTCAGGCCGAGTCGGACAAGCTGCTCTTCGCCACCTTCGAGAAGGCCCAGAGTTCCTAAAGCCTATAGAGCTGTTCTTTGCACTAGAAACTTCAACTCCTTGGAGACTTTGGGGGAGATGCCGCAGGCAGAGGAAGCCAAAGCGAAGCTGGACCTGTCGACGGGCGCAGTGGCGGCCTTGGAGGTTGTCTGAAGACTGTAGACCGTGGTTTTGCAGACGTACGCGTAGTGGCGAAGTGCTTTGCCGAAGCTTGCGTGATGGGATCCTGGGCTCCCGAACGTCTGCTCTGGGGCAGAGATTTCAACTCAAGAGGTACAGTTTCCGAGGGAAGGCTCTCCTCTGCTTCGGCCGAGGAGCAGCTGCGAGATTTTGCGGTGCAGAACTACGAGGAAGCTGTCTCTGCCGCTCTGAAGAATTGTTTGTGGCTGAGGGTTTCTGGCTGCTCGCATGGCATGGCTCGTACTGGTACCGCTGCTCCGATCTGTTTGTTTCAAACGCTATACATCTTTGCAAGAACCGGGGGCTGGGTGCCGTTGCTGTCGTGCATCAGAGCCAGGCCGATGGCGGGCCTGCAGATGCGAAGCGTGCGCGGGAGCTGCTGGCCTCCTCCCCAGCAGGGAGGGCTTCGCCTTGCGCGGCTGCGCATGCGCATGCGCAAGACTCAGAGCGGAGATGCCGCATTCTCGCAGACCGCGGGGCTTTGCCTCGATGCCTTGGCCCAGTTCGGCGCCGTCTCAGCGCCACTCGGCGGCGCTGAAACGGAAAGAAAGACACGAGTCTGGACGCTTAAGAGGGGACTGCAAGTGTCGCCTAGGCCGAGTCTCAAGGAGAGGCCCGGGCGTCCTGCAGTAGATGCCCCTTGAGCTGGAGCGCTGCAAGGGCGCAGTACGCCAAGAGCCGTGCGGAACACCTGCGAAGCTGCCGGGAGCAGAGGGCAGATACACTTTCCTTCCCATCTTGCTTGTCTCCTCCCCACTATATCCACCCAGACTCCGAGGCTTGCTCCTGCAACGATCGCCGTGCCCTAAAAGATGTGATGTTTTATAAGTTAGCAGAACCCTTGCCCATTTCGGGTAATAATACCACCAGTCAACCCATTAGACGATTATTCCTATACTCCCCCCTACACCTCACCAACTATATCACTACTACTACCCCATTACCAATACCAGTGTAGGAATAACCGATTACCGCATCCATATAAGAGGAATATTCCTATACTCCCTACTACAATCCCCCAAAGATTACCACTACTACCTCATTACCAAGAACAGTATAGGAATAACCAATTACCCCATCCATATTCCCTAAGGTGGTATTATTACCCAAAATGGGCAAAGGTTCTCTCATAGATTTTATTAGGTTGAGGGCTTAACGATGTTGTAGGCAGAGATCGTGCGCTGAAGACACACCTGAATGCTCAGGCTTTTGTCCGTGGATGCTGTGAATAGAGGGCCCCTCTTGCTCAGGATGTCAACAGCTTTGTTGCTTTCACACAGCAACACTACTTAAGATCGTAACCACAAGGTCTTCCTGTGCCCCGAAGCGCCATGGGAGACCGCAGCAGGTCACCGCATAGACAGGGCAAGTTCTGGCGAGTGCTTGTGAGCGATGGTCAGGACCGCCAGCCTGTCAGAATCTACGAACATCAGATGGGTTCCGAAAAAGATGTTGAAGACTTTCTGGCAGCAGTGAAAAAGGCTGAGGGTTTAGATGGAGCGGTGCTGAGCCAGATGAGACTTTTCAGGAATGCCGACAATGCGGATTCACAACAGGCAGAGGCATTCGAGACATCCATGAGTGAAATCCCCAGCCACCGCGAGAATGTCCTCATTGTCACATATAGAATGAAGAATGTCGCAGCACCAGAGGCAACTCGTCCATTCAGCATTCTCATCTTGTTTCTGCTCCGGATTGAGGTTTCCCTTCCCCGCTTATCCCCACTACTTATTCCCCTTAAGTATTTCACGCTAGGAGGTTTGGTCCTTGCTAGGTTCTTTGCTTGGTTAGTTTGGTGGTTCGGGTGTTTTGGTTGGTTCTGGGTCCTGTTGGGGGGAGGGGGTCTTTATGTTCTTATAGTTGCGTGTGTGCTTTTCAAGGTTGACCTTGCCGCCACCATCCGGCAGTTCGCTGACAGCCAAGACAAACGCCTAGACATACTGCAGAGGCAGTTCGCTGACAGCCAAGACTTGGCGAGTGCGGCCTTTCAAGCGATGCTTACGCCAGATCTTGCGCAGTCAACCAAAGTACGCGACCCCAAGTTTCGCGAGAATGTTGCTGAGTACCAGGGCTACAATCAGAATGCACCTTGTGCTGTCCTCAGCCAACGATTCCCTGGCACGTTTGAGTACTGGCGAGAACACGGGATCTTGATTTTCCCGTCTGTTGCTGATCACATCTACTCGCACAAGAACTTCGGCAACTTCAAGACCTTAGGTTTTCACCGTGACGATGTCAAGAACGGTATGTTGCTCTTCAAGGACGTTGAGGAGAGGGCCGGAAATGGTGAGTTGTCGTTTTTGCCTGTGCAGGTCTTGCCAGATGAGATCATCCTGCAAGTTCACGTGTCAGAGCAGATCCGGGATGTCTATGTACAATACAGAGACCCCGGGCACAAGAAACAGTTCGGCGACTATCCTATGGTTTTCGCTTGGGAGTCTGCGTATGGTGTGTGTCCTGACGAGCCACATCCTATTCGATTTGGGGATCTTCATGACTTCCAGTTCAGAATGAAGCGACCTCATCTTCGGGCCCTATTCTGGAAAGCCAAGATGGCCCATGATGCCTTCAACGACCTACCAGATCCTTTCCAGCACGTCGACGTCTTTAGAGAGTGCGAGTCTTTGATGGACAAGATACGGCGCATGCACAGATCGACAAACGCTCAAAGTGATCATGTCTCACAAGGCTCGGAAAAGCCGACGTTGACAAGCTGTGACAGCTCTTCAAGTGCGCTTAACAAACTCAATTGTAGCGTCATTCTTGAGGACATATAGTTAGGTAGGTTGTTGTTTTTAGTGTTGCACATGTCGCATTCTTTGTAATTGAATTTGCATATTTGCACTTGCGGGTATTGGCAAGTTATACAAATTAAGATTTTCTTCTGCAAATTTACATGTGCGACACATACTCACTTTTTCATTTATATATGTTTTCATTTTAATAACATTTTCGAACTCGTTAATGATTTCTTCCTGTTCTTCTTCGGTGAACATTTCTATTATAATATAACTAGATATTTTTTCTGTAAATACATTTCTGAAGAATAATAACCAAAAGAATTATATTTCAGAAAATGGAGCATAATATTATTAACATCATTAATAATATTATGATCATCACAGTTTTTGATCTGCTATATAATCCCATATTGTATGAAAGTTAAAATATTTCCTCCGTAAGTGTATTTGATTTTCTATGTATGCCATAAGTATGGCTTTCAAAACATTCTTAACATAATCTTCGTAGCATGTTCTGTATGTGACTTTTTCCATCATTCTCTCTGCATACTGGAAACTAAAATACCCCATTGTATTCAGAATAAAGTTTCTTTTATAACTGTCAAACATATGAACCGAAACTGTATCATTTATAAACTTCTTCATTAGTAATTTGGTTGCGTGATTATACAAATACGAACGTTCTATTATTTTCTTTAAACACTCCCTCTTTTTCTTGTTGTTCTCTAACTTTTTGTATGATTTATCATTACAGTTAAAGATACAATGTATTTGTTTTTCAGCCTTACATAATTTGTTATATGTATCTTGATTATAAATCTTCTCATACTCTAGTATTTCTGAACAACAATGACAGAAAAGATAAGAGGTAGTATTATCAGTAATATTTTCATCAAATATACACATCAGTGCCTCTCGCTTTCTGTTTCTGTGTTCTTTGCATACTCCACATTCAAAATCAAAACGAAATGTTTTCATCATTATATTCTAACATATATAGATAATATTTCTTTAAATACTTTTCTTAAGAAATTAATTCTAAAGAATATTAAACTTTTAATAATTCAAATCTCAAATAAGGTCTGTCCATGCCTTCCACATAACAATGCCTTTGACTTAATTTCCTTTCAATTCTCTCAACGGTATACACATTTTTACTCCAATTTCCGACCCTTTCCTTCTCATTCGGTTTTCGCTTCCTAAATATCTTGACTTCGTCACCCTTGTCAATATCCGGATATATCCTATTCCGTTTACCACTACTGGCAATATTCAACCTGACGCTTAATTCGTTACTCGGTTTCCGTGCCTCTTTCGGCGTGAATTTTGTGGCGGAATGTATCATCTGGTTGTTATATGTCAGCAATATCTCGTGAACATAGTCAGTCCATTGAATGTTACTTTTCCCCTTCCTCTCGTCAGCCTCAACTCTTTTGTATAGCATGTCCTTAAAAGTTCTGATCGCCCTCTCACTGAAATTTGCGTGAGCCCTTGTCCTGTGGTGCTCTATTTTCTGCTCCTTTAAATACGTTTGTATAGCTTCTTTAGACAGAGCACCCTCATCATCCGTATAAATGATCTTAGGTTTTTTCCCCATCTTATGCAGACACTCAATCATACCACTTGCTAAATCCTCTTCTTTTTTACCTTTTATTGCTACCACTTATCAAAGACATCTATCATGATCATGCCAACCTTAAACTTTTGATCTTCCAGATCATTTATAAAAAACAAGTCCATTTGATACTCGGATGCCGAATGTGGTGCTACAAAACTGTTCTGTCCCACAGGTTTTCTTTTTGCTTCCACGTTCTTCTTGAAAAACTCATTAACATCGTCAATAGTTATACTTTTATCTTTCTCCCGCGCTTCCTTTAAAGTTCGGCTTCTGCTCCCGTATCCCGCGCGATCGTAATACACATTACTAATGATCTCCTGCTTATTGCTCATTATAATAGCATGACATTATATATCTTCTCGTCGGTCTTGTAGTTGTTTCATGTATTCCTGATGCTTCTTTGTTCTAAAATGTTTTGCTTTTCTGCCCCACACACAAGTCGCACCACAATCACAGTAAAACGGCTTAGATTGCTTTTCTAAAATACTCTCTTTATTCAGTTGGTAATATAGTTTCCCTCTCTCTTTGATGTGTTCTTTTTCCCTCTCTCTGTATTCTTTGCTCTGTATCCTGATCTGGGCTTTGCTACGCTGAATTCGCTCTCTTTGCTTCACCTTGAGATAATCCTTAAACTCATCATGGTATTCTTTGTGCGTTCTTCCTGCTACTTGCTTGTTCACACATTCATTGTTTCTTATATACTCTCCTTCTCTTCTTAACACTTGTTCTTTCGTATCACAGGGGAAGTCCTCAACAAGGAATATTTTACAATTTTCAACGCCATATTCAGAAAACAATATTCGCGAACTGGTGTCAACCCTTCCAGTTTCTAAATATTGCTTGTAACACCTCCTGTGTCGTTCCATACGTTTGCTTAAAGGTTCAGTTGTAGAACCATAATAACAGTTGTTAAACCCTACATCTACTATTTTATAAATTTTGCCATGTTCGTATCTCTGCATACCTTAATCTACCTCTATATACCTATATGCCTTTAAACCTTTACAAAAATATTGATGTAATCGTATTTCTAAAATTAAATCAGCATTCTTCTGCTTTCATGGGCATCACAACTTTAACATTATTCATGTCATACTTGGGTCCTTTCTTGTTCTGAGTGCTGTTGAATTCTGCCAGTTGCTCTTCGGTTAAATCTTCTATTGTGGTATTGATATTGTTGTCCTTTAGATATTGCTTTAACTTCTTCTTTTGAATGCACTTCAAGGCAGAATCGCGTTTTTTCTGCATATATCCTTCCTCTTGTCTTCGCTTGTAGTAATACAGTCGGTTGTAAATTGCCAACTGTTCTCTTATCTCTTCCATTGTCATATCCTCTGGGGTTTTCATAGACATATTACTATACTATATATTATAATATTTCTTTAAGTGAATTTTCTGAACAGAATTTTCCAAAAAAATATTTAGTTTAAAAAACTTACCTTCAGAAAAACATTTAAATATAGAATTATTTTATAGTCTAATTATATTGACATGAGTAAGACCATCAAACGCGGTGTAAAAGCATTAGAGACAGTGTATGATTTTTATAAAGGCAGACTTAACAGAGCAACCAAAACTAAAATCAAAAATATCATCGGCTTATACGATGACAGAAAAATAGCGCAGTTCACAACAGCAGACAAACTAGTAAGGAACTTCATCAATGCCAAGACAGACCAACAAATGCAAAAGGCAAGTGACCAATACAACAAGGTATACGAAAAACACAAGGAAAAGAAACCACTAGGAGAACGAATGCGAACAGCAAAGCGTGACAACAAACTCACAGAAATCCGCAGACGACTAACACAGAAGACCGCAGTTCAGCGAATACAAAAGAGGGTGAGAGCGGAACAATCCAAAACAACACATGCATACTCCGTAGACCTTATGTTCTTCAAATTTAAACTCCCCAAGGATACCATCAAAGCATCCTTCAAAGACAGCAAGGGTAGACCCCTAATCCCGATCTGGTATGAGACTAAGAGAGCAACTATACAAACAACAGACTATATAGAAGACTTATCGGGCAGACGTGTGTTTCAATACGAAACTAAAGACAGATATCTTTTTAAGAAACTGATGAAGACAATAATGTCTGACCCAGATATGGAGGAAACCCTTCGCTTCGTCCATTCCTACGTAGTGTGCATCAAAGTTAAGGATGTAGACAGAGTAGATGGTGACACTGATTTTATACCAGTGGACGAGAATTGAACTGACACCTCCCATGTGAGCATGTTCCACAGATACATACAAACTCCATTAAACCCAGAATACGAAACACTAAAGGAAGCAATCAAAGTAAACCATTATCAAGAAAACCAGTGTTGGTTGAACACCATAACCGATTACTATAAGGACACACTTATGGGAGAAAAGCGCAGAGAAAAGAACAGACTAACCAGACAGAGCATGTTGACCCTGATAGGTAAGTCAGAAGAGGATTTTAAGACATCAGGTGCATCAATAAAGGAAATGGTTAAAGTGTTTGAGCACTACAGGATCCAAGTCAGAATATACAATGCTTTTGAGAGACTGATTTTTCAATATGATCCACCCAAGCGGGATCATCATATCCCCACATTGTATGCCATTGTGAAGAACAACCACATATACACAGTAACCGATAATTTGAATGTATTAAGGCAGATGTTACCAAGAAACTCTGGGTATGATATTTCAGTGAAGGCTTCACCAGATTATCACTTGAATGAGAAGGACGAACCCGTTCAATGTAAAATGATACAGTCACTTAACGACATAAAGAAATATAACGAACATGCTGAGTATACATTGATATATGATGGTCATGACCTTGCCGAGCTCTTTTATGAAAGCAAAAAGGCAGGATACGAACCGCAAGTTAAATTCAGTGCAGGTATAGTATCGGAACTTAATTTTAAATTCAGGATAAAAAAGAATGTCATCAAATACAAAGTTAAGACCCAGAACCTAGTAAACAACTCCATTGACGGAACTATATCAGTGAGAACTGAGCAGATCTACAACAACATGTCTAAAGCAATGTATGCATTTAACAAGTCCTTGTTTAATCCACTACACAAGTCATATTATAATGAGATTGACATGGAATTGTTTAAGGAATGTAGAACGATAAACCCAGTTGGTGAGATAAACAGACACTACTTCCAATACAACCCACATACAAACAAAGACGACAAGATGTTTTACATGCCAGAACACGCGGTAGAAATTGATATTAGAAAAGCATTCACACATGCTTTCAACAAAATTACAGAAATCCCTGTCTTCACTCAGTTTGATGTGTGGCAACACTATGATTACATGAAGCACGATCACAGGAAACTACACGAATTCACATTATACCTAGTAAAA